TAACCCCCTATACCCCCCCTATACCCCCTCCCCAAAACCCCCCATACCCCCCCCATTCCCAAAAGTTTCTCAGCGGGTTTGGGCTGTACTCAGCAAGCACAGTACAGCCCCCAACTCAGACTTAAAATAAAATCAGTGGATGGCTGTTTTCTGACCGGTCGGCCGGTCAGCCCTTCTGGTCGGCTGCAATACAGTCAGCCGTAGGGGGTCGGCGGTCAGCAGCTATGCAACCCTGGTGAAGGGGGGGTGGTGGGGGGAAGCCAGATAGATCAGTTGATTAGGCATACAGGCGAGGAGATAACAGTCTCAATTGGTGGAGCGCCTTCAAAACTGGTTCACTAGCAAGTAGACAGTCATATCAAGACCTGCACGAAAGGAACTTCACAGTGGAACCCTAAGAGAAGAGACCTGTTGTTTGGTCATGGAAGAACATATTATCGCTGCATCTAGACTGGAAGTTTCGCCAAATACTGCTACAACGACTGGGCGATCTATTTGGAAGAAGGCGGTAGTAACCCTGCTGCCTCCTCCCAAGTCCTACCATAGCCAATATCTACCTAGCCCAACCCTTACACTTTGTCACGAGCTACCAATTGTGTCAGAGCAAAGAAGACCTCTTCAACTACGACACCCCCAACTCCCAACAGGGCAGGCTGAAGAAAGGCCAGCATTGTCTACCCAGAGGAGATGGCTCCCTCTGCTCACAATGGCTAGACAGAGAAGACTGTGCCTGATATCATCTTCACCCGAATAGAACGCCCTGTCATTATAGCTGTATTTGGCACAACTTCCAGCCCAGATACGGCTATAATTAGCGGCCGTTCTATTCGGGTGAAGACGGTAGGTGAAGTCGGGCACTTTGCCGGCCTGCCCGCCAGGTGTTCTGGGTCCATCGACAAGCAAATAGCAAATGCTTTGCAGAATCATGTGTTATCAGAGATTAGATCGGCAGGGTTATTCACACGTTTTCTGTTATCTCACTGGCCATCTCAAGTGTGGCACTAAGAAAGACTTCAAGAAATTGCTGATAGCCCTAGCGGCAGCAGAGGGGTTGCATGACTGAACTGAGGGAACCAGTGTGGTACATTGTGCTGCAGGTTTCTATACCTCAATGGAAGCTCTTTCTCATTTAACATGCCCAAAACAAGCATTCCTGATGACCAAACCACCTTCCCTCCCTTCCCTAATGTTACCCCATTTTACCCCCAAAACCAACCACCTTGCAACCAGGAAAAACAAATGAAGACAACAGTTTCTTTGCTAAGGGCTCACCAGTACTTTCGCGCTCCCAAAGTCGCAAAGCTTTAGCTGATGAGATTGAGGGTTCACCTGCAAAGCGTTCGATGTGCAGAGAGTGTCATCAGCCTGGTCGAACTGTCATTTGATTTTGTGTGTCTTAAACTGTCTTTGCTAACAGAGCGAATTTCCCATTTCCATTTCCTTTTTTCTGAAGCAAACTACTTATGCATCCATTTCCTCTTTTCTGAAGCAAACTACTTACGCATGCCGTCGATAACAATATAAATCACCTCATACGCTCACATCTATCAACTAAACCAGCACACTTTGCGAAACACACGCACAAAACAACAGATAGCAAGAGGCACAGTGAAACCATTGTGGTTAGCTTTTCACCAGTACCACATCATATGGCACGGCCCCACATTCGTAGTGTCAGTAACACACCCACACGATGATGTGGGACTCATATTGTCCCGGAGGACCATCCCATCTGGGTCCCACAGATATACCAGCAGTTTGGTCCCACAAATGGTCCCACATGCGACAGCAATTAGGTTAAGCAGATGAAAACCCAGACGGTCCCACAAATGTGCCAGCAATATGGTCCCAAAGATGGTCCCAAAGATGGTCCCACAAATGTGTCAAGAATTTGGTCCCAGAGATGATCCCACAGAAGGCCCCGCAGATGTGACAGCAATTAGGTGCCACAGATGGTCACACAGGCGACCGCACAAGTGTGCCACCAATTGGGTCCCACAGATCCTCCCACAGACGCGCCAGCAATTAGGTTCCGCAGATGATCATCCAGATGATCCCACAAATGTGCCAGCAATTTGGTCCCACAGATGTTCCCACAGATAGTGCCACAGATATGACAGCAATTAGGTACCAGATGGTCACACAGACAGTCCCACAAATGTGCCAGTAATTTGGCCCCATAGATGCCCCAGCACCTCTATTATTCTTTTGGTTCGTTCCCCTTTTTCCTCTTTTGCTTCTTGACGCTGTTTGACCACGTGTATACTGCTGCAACAACAACGGACACGGGCAGGCAGAACAGAAACCCTGCAGCAGAAAACAGGCACTTACTGCTGCAACGACAACAGATACGGGCAGGCAGAACAAAAACACTACAGCAGAAAACAGACACATGCGCCAAGGGAGATGGGAGGACGAGGAAGCAAAGACAACAGAAGAGAACACTACCCTGCTAGTGTGCACATCTCTCAACAACCAACATGCAGTTGTCTTGCCCCCATTTCCTCACATCTGCGCTTCAGAAAACCTGCCGCCAGCCCACTCGTGCTGTGAGAGATGAGAGCCACCCACAGTCATCTTTGACACCGGTGATCCAAACAGCAGAAAAGATTGACTCAAGCGGAAAAAGACGCTCACCCACTCTTCCAGCCTTACACAAACACTGAGAGCCACAAGGAACACTCACCACAGACATCGGCCGCGCTCCACTACACAACTCTACATGTATCTGGAGCTCATAATCTTCCCGATATATTCAAAATGTTGGACTCCTCTGAATGCATCTCGGCCAGAAAGGTGTCCAAATGCATGCACAATGTTTAGTGGTGAATGCATCTGGACCAGAAGGATGTCCAAATGCATGCACAATGTTGGGTAGCGGAGCGTGGCCCATAGCATCAAGATCACATATAACAGAACCACCCACGCAATCCCAACCTGGTTTCATAAACGGCACTTAAGAATTGAGATCAAGATTGAATCACACTTAACAACTACGATCAAAGATCAAACGATAGGAATATCGTCAAGAAGCATCCATTCGATTCCCCACGACCCCGTGTGGCATACTACGGATTCACCGACTGAGAAAGTCGGCTTGTCCCTACTGGCTGGTTGTGGAAGAGTCGCACTTTCCATCCCATGCCAGGTGTTAGGAGCTTGGGTGCTGCTCCCCGCACAGAGCAGAGTTAGGTAGGAATAGACCCATAACCTTCCGATAGCTTAAGCATAGTTCGTGCATTTAAGGCTGACTCCTGAACTGAGAAATTGTCCCCTCCCGAATAAAGGCAACCCATTACGTAGGTAGCGGTGTGGCTGTGCAGCAGGGCGATGGATGTCTCCCTGAGATGCACCCGATGCTCTTGGCCATTTGAGTCCACCAAAAATCTATGATGGGTGGAAGACTACCATGGTGACTGGGAACAGCGGTTACAACCGGTCGGTTTACACATATGTCAGGCCGAGTAGGCCTGTGTAAGTATGTAAAGAATAGGAGAGGCAGTATAGGCGGTAGATTAACTTTAGGGGCAATGAGGGAGAGATGTGGGGAAAGGGACAGCGAGGAGGAAGGGGGAGAGAGCGGGGAAGAGGGAGGGAAGAGAGGGGAATGGGATAGGTAGACAGGGGGGAAGGAGGCCCTCTTTCCCCGTTCCCCGCTCTACAGCTGTATTTATAAGAAAAAAAGAAAGAAAGAAAGAACAAAACCCGAAAATTATCGATAGAATGAATCTATGGAGAAAAAGAGGAGAAACAGAGGAGAGCGAGTGCATGCACGACGAGTAAAGAGAATTGCATAAATCATGCAAGTTAAGGGCCTCGTCGCACCACTCGGCATCCGCCAACATTTCGAGTGAATCTCGACACGAAATTTATACTTATGCATTCAAAGTCTTGGCAGATAGCGGGTGGTGCAACTAAGCCCAACATGTTGTGCAGCACATCACAGGGCACGAGAGCGATTCCGTGCTAATGCAAAAGCCCAAGAATGGACCATAGCTGCAAATCATCTCGTGACTTGTGGGAGTTGTCTTCACCTGCAGGAGATAATACACTCGTCTTTGTGCCGAGGTGCAAGCCCAAGAATGGACCAAAGCTATATTCTTCTATCAAGCTATCCAGAACGGACCTCGCTCCACATGTATATGGACAAACTGCAAGGCAAGATACTTCCGGAATGATGACCGACCTTATAAAGAGAAAAACAGACAGAAAACGCTCTGCCTGCACGAGCTGAAACCTGAACCCATAATTTTTCTGCTGTCGAGCTATACTCTGCAAAAGCTATAAGTTTTGGCAGGGACCTCCTCTCATCATATCTCGTTCGCCTTGTGGGGTATCAATATCAGGCGACCCAGTCCATGATACCCTCAGGTGCTAAATTGAAGATCTTCGCCCACGGGGGAGTCAGATAATTAAGCTTACTGGCTTGACCCCACCCCATGAAGGCCATAGCTGCCTGAATATTGCAATAATATCCCCCCCGCCCCCCACCCCCCTCCCCGAAGCCCCCCAGAATATAGCACCTTCAAAAATTTATTGCTGATTTTGACAGCTCTCGAACAGTGCACTTGGAATCTGCCCCCCCCCCCCCMCCACCACCACCAAAAAAAGGAAAAAAATAAATAAAAAATCATTTAAAAATGCGCCTTTTTTCTTAAAACCAGTTTCCTGGTTCACCCCCCGGCGCTGATCCGGCTCCGGTTGGACCGGGAGAGCTCAACAAGCCGGTTGCCAGCCCAGCCTTGCTTTTCCCTCTTTTCTTTGTTAAACTAACTTAAACATCTATTTTGGGTCGTCCCCAGGCAGAACCAGACGGGTCAAAAAAGAGGCAAGGATCCCCCCCCCCCCCCCAAAAAAAGGACTTCAGGCCAGGACGGCGCTTGGCCTAAGCAGTCAGAATCCGGTCTTAACTCCGGTTTTGGTGATGGGTCATCCAGGGGGGTTTGGGGGGGGGGGGGGGGGGTATAAACAGTGACTAAAGGGGTTAAAACTTAAGGGTACATTTGGGCAGGTGGCCCTCAGCCAGAAGTCGTTTTAATTGCAATTTTACACAACATACAACATATTGTTTTTTGAACTTTTTTCGGTTTCTTTTTTTTTCCTAATTTTTTAAATATTATGCGCTGGGATCTCCCGGGACTCTTAACCGCCGGCCGTCCGCGAGGGTACCCCTGCGACCTTCCCCAGCTGGGCCGCCCGGAGACTAACACAGTTGAACATTTATTTTTTTGTGTCCCCCTTTCCTTTTTCTTCTGCTCCTCTGTTCGAAAGAAAGAAATTCAAAGAACTCTGAATTTCCCTAGGGCTGATCAGTTCCAAGATGATGTCTCAAGGCTGTCACCATCAAACGACCAGCACCTCCCCCAGGCAAACTTCAGAATCTAAATCGCAACAATCCAGGCTCTTCGGATGCACGGGGCTATCGGACGAGAATGGCTGGCGGCACCAGCCAAAAAATACAAAAAGTGCACCGCTAGCAGTTTTTAGCAGTGCAAATCTCCATCGGGGAAAAAGACACTTGGACGCCCTGGAAGTTTAAGACAACAACAACAACAACAACAACAACAACAGTTGACCCAAAGAGATTCTTCGCAGACGGTCAGCAGTGGGTTTGACTCAGACTCATACAACAACAACAACAACAACAACAACAACAACAACAACAACAGTTGACCCAAAGAGATTCTCCGCAGACGCTCAGCAGTGGATTTGACTCAGACTCATTCACCTTACCAGCAAATTCTGGGGCTTTATATCCCGATGGCAGACGCCCATTCCGTTATGAATATACGCCAGCGCCCGGCAAATCTGTGAGCGCCATAGCAAAGTAGTGTTCCATATGAGAACCCGCGAACACCACACAAATACACGTCACAGAGACAAAGAACAACATGACAGAACCAGCCATAACAAACTGCAAGCCTGAAGACACAGACTGGCAGACGTAACATAGCAGCCCCTGTCAAACTAATCCAAGCAGGACCCATGGCCAGGTGATTGATCCTTGTCCAGACGGTGTCCATAACCAGGTGCATTCTGACACAATTGGGGAGGTACATCACATTTTGGATAAATAGGTTATCCCGACATAATGTGGCGTACTTATACAGACGGTTGTCCGGAGAGGAATGCCATGCACACTGCACACATAGATATGTGAAGAACAAACCGAAGAAGTGAGTAGAAGTTGGAGACCTATGTACAGAAGAGAACGAGGCCTCGCGACACTACTCACCAAATGTGTGAAATGACATGTATCTCTCAGCTAGAAGGCTGATACATGCTGACACATGCCTGGATGAACCATAGGGAATGCAAAGTCTGATAATCAACAATGTGTGGAAAGACAGTTTAGCACACCGGAAGACACCAATCGGACATGGACTGAACTGATCACACAGCAAACTGATTATACAATCACAGATCTGAGCTCATACTCAGCAGGGAGGAGTCCATGCACGGAATAAACCTCTCTGCTCCTCATACACAGATGACGTGAGATGAGAAGAAGAAAAAGAAAAAGAAGAAGAAGAAGAAACAGGAGGAGGAGGAGGAAGAAGAAGAGGAAGAGGAAGAGGAGGAGGAAGACAAAGAGGAAGAGCAAGAGGAAGAGGAGGGACGAAGAGGAGGACGAAGAGGAGGACGAAGACGAAGAGGAAGACGAAGAGGAAGACGAGGAGGAAGACGAAGAAGAAGACGAAGAAAACGAGAAAGACGAAGACGGAGAGGAGGAAGGCGAAGAGGAAGAGGAAGAAGAGGAAGAGGAAGACGAAGAAGGCGAAGACAAAGAAGAAGCCGAAGACGAGGAAGAGGAAGAGGAAGAGGAAGAGGAAGAAGAAGAAGAAGAAGAAGAAGAAGAAGAAGAAGAAGAAGAAGAAGAAGAAGAAGAGGAAGACGAAGAGGAAGACGAAGAGGAAGAGGAAGAGGAAGAAGAAGAAGAAGAAGAAGAGATGTTTTAGAGAAGAAGAAGAAGAAGAAGAAGAAGAAGAGATGTTTTAGAGAAGAAGAAGGAGAAGAGAAAGAGGAAGAGGAAGACGAAGACGAAGACGAAGAGGAAGACGAAGAGGACGAAGAAGACGAAGACGACGAGGACGAGGACGAGGACGAAGACGAAGAGGAAGACGGAGAAGACGAAGAAGACGAAAGAGGAAGAGGAAGAGGAAGGAAGAGGAAGAAGAAGAAGACGAGGAAGAAGAAGAAGAAGAAGAAGAAGAAGAAGAAGAAGAAGAAGAAGAAGAAGAAGAAGAAGAAGAGGAAGGAGAAGAGATGTTTTAGAGAAGAAGAAGGAGAATAGATGTTTTAGAGAAGAAGAAGGAGAGGAGATGTTTTAGAGGAGGAGGAGGAGGAGAAGGAGAAGCAGAAGCAGCAGAAGCAGAATCAGAAGCAGAAGCAGAAGCAGAAGCAGAAGCAGAAGCAGCAGCAGCAGCAGCAGCAGCAGCAGAAGAAGAAGAAGAAGAAGAAGAAGAAGAAGAAGAAGAAGCAGAAGAAGAAGCAGAAGAAGAAGCAGAAGAAGAAGAAGCAGAAGAAGAAGCAGAAGAAGAAGAAGAAGAAGAAGAAGAGGTACAGATGGGAGAAGAGGTACAGAAGAGGTACAGATGTTTTTTGAGAAGAAGAAGAAGAAGAACAAGAACAAGAAGAAGAAGAACAAGCAGAAGAAGAAGAAGAAGAAGAGGAGGAGAAGAAGAAGAAGAAGAAGAAGAAGAAGAAGAAGAAGAAGAAGAAGAAGAAGAAGAAGAAGAAGAAGAAGAAGAAGAAGAAGAAGAGGAGGAGGAGGAGCACACTCTACTATTGCAGGCCTGGGCCTCACCGCCACAGGTAAAATTAAACGGAGTGCCGACCCGGGCCACGACCCTTCAACATTTCCTTTTTTCAGAGGGATGGGGAGCCTAAAATGCAATGATGGACTTCTACCGGTCCTCTGCCCAACAACCACTTCGTTCCCCCCTTCAAACCCTTCCCCGAAATGCACAGCCTCGGGAGGAGTAATTCAACCAAGTTGAAAAAAAATGCACGGCAGGTCTAACCCATCCCTTACGTGCTACAAGCAAGTGTTACATTGTTTTTGGAGGTCGCATTCAGACCATGGAAGGTCCTGGAGATTTGTGTGTACCATTTCACAGAATACATTTCTTCAACTTTTTTAACCCGATTTATAATTGCCTCAAAATGCAGTCCACAGACTCTACATTAGAAAAGAAAAAGTGCTCTGGTCGCTAACAACTACAGGCAAGACTGTGTGCACTTTTTCACAGACTACATTTCTTCGACTCTTCAAAGCCAGGTTATTATCGCGTCAAAAAACGCAGTATACATTCCTTCGAAATGTGCAGCAGATCTCATTCAGTCGGAACTTAAGTCAGTGTACAACAGTTAGCACACTGAATTGTAGTTTGAATCCACATACTATCACGCGAACAAACTAAAATCATCAAAAGAAGTCAGTCTGCAACAGCAAACGGACAAGCCAACCTCGAAAGGGTACAGCTTCACATAAATTAAAGGTCCAGGAACTGAACCAGGGTTCAGAAAGTGAACCACGGCATGTAGACCAACCAACCTGGTATGTGTACAGCTTCACATATATTAAAGGCATCCTCTGGCTCATCTTGTTATAATGCTTGGCAATCCGGTACACAGTCTCCGGAACATACTCCAGGACCAAGTTCAGGTACAGCTGCATACACACAAGACAATGAACAAGCATGAGCTACTGGTCCAAGTGCAGTGCAAGCAACCTGGTCGCAAAGACCTCTGCTTCATTAGCAGGTAACCACTACAAGTAATCTCTGTCACAGAAATACACGAAGCAGATCAATCGATTCATTAATCACGATCATCAGACAACTATCTTACATCTGTGAGATGGGTGAGAAAACCTACACGCAAACGAAGTGTCCAGTGCCAATTTCACCTTTTTCAAACCTCCCCGCCGCCCCCCCCCCTCCCTCCTCCCTCCTTCCCCCGACCAAAAGAAACAAGACCTTATAGGCCTGGCTCCATATCCATTCTGAGGAGAGTTAGGGCATACTTGTACTAGCACTCGTTCTTCTCTTCTATGCTCTGGACATGATTGCAGCTAGATTCATGCAGGCGTGGCTGCAATTGTAGTCAGACTTAGGAAAGAGCTAATGTGAGTATGCCCTTAGTATGGTTACTATTCCACCAGCAAGTCAAGACTACCCTCTTCACCTGAAGAGAACGCATGGTCATTATAGCTGCACCTAGACTGAAGTTGGTCCAAATACAGCTATAACGACCAGGCGTTCTATTCAAGTGAAGACGGTAGTTGATACACATGCTTCCTTCTTTGAAACTCGAGAGCACAGAGTCATCATAGCTGCACCTAGACTGAAGTTGGTCCCAGTACACCACCCCGGCAAACCTTTCAACCACCCCGTCAAACTTGGGAATTGAAACGAGTCATTCCAAAAAGTTTGGGGACTCAGGGCAGGGTTGCCCTGGGGGCGTTTGGGAATTTTTTTTTTGTCTTGCGCAGCGCCTGGTCGTACCCCAAGGCGCAGGACAAGCTGTTTTTACCCGCCCTCCTCCAGGTAGACCCTGTGCCCAGTCCCCAAACTTTTCGGAGTTACTCATTTTCCACTCTCAAGTTGCCTGGGGCGGTGTACAGTCGGCTTAAGGACAAAGGACACAAAGAACAAGGGAACAGACAAATCCCCACATGTATTTGACCGTACGGTTATTCAGGAAGGCGTCAAACTCTTGATATGTCAGCAAGTCCATGAGTAGTTGTGGGCTGTATACACTCGAGCGCGTTTCTGGACACGATACCTTATGTGTACACAGGAGAGCGTACATGGGCACATGCACAATGCAGCCACCATCCACGTAGCTTATATGTCAAACCGTCCAACAAGAAGTCCATATACCAGTTCAATCAAGCCTATGACCATGGACAACATAAGGCTGATCCTTTTTTTTTTTTTCTTGCCTTCACCGCTGGTGCCAATGACAAAAGATGCAATCTAGCAATCCATGAAAATCCTGCCATCACGCAGGAACCTCTCTTGGAACACCGATGGGTATTTAATCAAATCCGACACATCACTGATGACACACGCAAGATTCTTAGAGAACGTAGGAATGATCACAAGAACATAGAGCTGATGACAATCACACAATGCCACTCCTCTCGTTGAAACGTAGGTAAGCAGTCGCATCCAAATGGGGGTCCTGATTTTAAAATGTAGAGATTGACTCATCGCCGTGGTCTCCACATGCAAATCGTGCAAAACATCACGGACTTCTCTCTCTCTCTCTCTCTCTCTCTCTCTCTCTCTCTCTCTCTCTCTCTCTCTCTCTCTCTCTCTCTCTCTCTCTCTCTCTCTCTCTCTCTCTCGCCGGCACGTTGCTGAAGGAATCGATGGAAGCACTCACTCGATCGATTGTGGTAATGCTTTCGATGCAAAGTTGCGCCTGTCTCTTATACACATCTAGATGTGTATAAGAGACAGCTCATAGGTTGCTCCACCATGGGCTCGCCATAAAGGAAAATGCTTCTGGCAGAGAGGTTCCAAGGTACTGGTCATTAGAAGACTGCAATCAAGAGGCATCACGCAGGTTAGGATTGGAGCCCGCAGGTGTACGACAGACAGGGCAGGCTTCAACCCAGTCCTTTATCGATACCTCGTTGGGATTTCTTTTCCCCTCTCACTATCACTAACTTTTCAACTAAAAGCACTCGTGTTTCGTTGCAGGTGATATACTGCACAGCACACACCTCATCCTTGTCGGTTGTTGAGTAAAAGCAATGCTTCAGTGTTACAATGTTTGGATGATCCAGCAACCTCATTATCTGGAGCTCCCTGTTCTTGTACCGCTTGTCCTGCAAGACCTTCTTGATAGCAACTGTCTCTCCACTCTCCACACATGTCGCCTGACAAAACCGCAATCGATCAGCATTGGATGAAATTGCAGTGGAAATATTATAGGCATAATAGATTCAATTCAGTACAAGGAGGACTCGAATGAAGTGGTCAAGTCTCAACAGAGGATAACCCAATCTTATTATCAGTAGCCCAATCATGGAAAAGAAAAGCAAACAGTCCAGTCAACACAATGATAGCCAACAGTCCATCGGCAGTGAGAAGTGCACCGCAGCAGGTATCCCTGCACCGCAGGCCACCATACCCACACCTAAGCCCCTTTCCCATGCCGTATATTCCTACGGTAAAGGGAGGAATGGAGAGTGTAGAAAGTTGTTTCCACAGACAGAGAATTCCTCCCTCCCAACACATTCTCTTCACTAGAACACCCAATCTGCAACGGCACATGCACTCAGTTTGTCTTTCTTGGGCCCAGGACAGTGCTAAACCGGTACAGTTGGTGCTGAATGGGTCAAAGGCCCTACAAGTAGTCCCAGTGAATGCCACAGATGTCACAATGCAACGTGGCAATCCAAGAAGCTATGGAGCAAATTGTTCTTCAAGAGTTTCCAAAAGACGGATATCGATCAAGAGCCCCTCCCTCTACCACTAACACCTACCGACCCATTGTGCCCTTCCAAATAGTAGCATGATAAATTGTTATGAGATTATTCACACACACAGACACACAAACACACGCGCGCGCACACGCACGCACACGACCAGCATATCCTTCTTGCACCGGAAGCCTGACAGGTTCACTACACACTAATTGATCCTTAGGCGTTTTCCTCCTCCTCTGCCACCACCTCAATCTTCCTTTTCCTCCACCGCATGTCTTCCTCCTGTTTTGCTTGTACTAAAGACACTGGGACACTGAATGAAAAACATACAATAGAAGGCATAACCAGGGATCACGACAATCCAGTACATTAAGGACAGGGTGACCGACACATTGTCATGACCTGCAAAATCACGCACTGAGAACTCTTCTGATTTCTAAGTTTTCCCACTGAAGTGTGTGCCTTGCTGAGATTTCCGCTTTCTGCTGAGATTTTCGAAGTCTGTGTTTGTGCGTGTTTGCTGGTTTATCGTGTGCCTGTCTGAGTACATATCTGCCTGTATGTGTGTGTGAACCGTCAGGGTACTTGTTTGTTTGGGAGGCCCTCGTGACCTGTACTTACCTGTGGCCGTGACTTTGAGGGTTGCAGCAGGGAAAGTAGCGTGTCTAGCACTCAAGTAGCGGTAGTGTAGGCCCGCGTAGCTCAGGGCAGTGCTTGAGGAGTGGTAGGCCGAGCAGAAGAAGACAAAAAGTTGTACCTTTGGAGGCCGTGTGAATTTTAGGAGTCCGGCAGGCCTAGGTCTAGGGCACCAGTCGTGGAGTCTGTAGTGGATTATATCAGGCC